GACTTAACGCGTGAGTGGTGGAGCACCTCGGAGATGAGGTTTCGGCGGAGAATACGCCACGTGGGGCCATAGGAGGCGGAGCTGATGTTGCGTTGGTCGCTGGAGAGGATTTTGGAGGCGGCGAGAGCCTTGGGGCGGTCGGAGAAGAGGGAACCGTTTTGGACTAGGGCTTGGTGGGCGAGGGTGCGGTCGGCGATGAATATGGCTCGTTGAGATCCGATGCGGATGGTGACGATGGGGCCGAACTTGGCGTGGAGGTTTCGGAGAATCGGCTCGAGTTGGTTTAAGGATTTGAGGAGCCATTGGATGCTTGTGACGATTGGGATGTGAAGAGGGCCTGGAGGGGTGTTGATGGTTTTTGTTTGAAGGGAGAATATGGCTCTTACGATAACGCAGACGCACGCAGACACTAGGATGATGAACCAGCCTTCCATGAGTGGTCCTTCTTTCATCACCTTTCCACCAGAATGATCAGTGTGTTGTTGTGGATAAGCCGCCTAAATATAAGAACCAAAAGCCTCAAGCCAAACAATGCGCAAATGACAGTTTAGACCCTAAAAAAATCTTCGAAACACTTATTTTAATTATATAATAATCACATTTTAAGTTGAATAATAAAGACACGTGTCGGTATTCCGAAGATGGAAGATGTACAACTAGATCAGTTGTAGCATAACAGGATTGGGCTGAACTCATTTGACTATGATGATATGGTTGGTCGAAGGAGTTAAATCAAGATTAGCGAAGACGAAATCACAGCCAATCATATCCGTCCGAGGCCAATGAATCAGGATTATGCTTTTATTTTGTTTACCGTTTAGTGAGTTAGGAGATAATTTTATTTGATATTATACATAGCTTCTAAAAGAAAGTTTTGTAAACAAAAAAGAGAACTCCAACAAGGGTTCAGAATTTGGAATCCTAATTTTTCATTAGCTTTGAGTATGATTGTTTTAAAATTCTGTTTTCTCTTTTATCCTTTTTGGTTGAGAATCTCAAACTATTGACTACAACAAATAATAATTAAAATATAATATTTTTAGTAATTAAATTAGTTTTTTAATTTAAAAAATGTTCACGAATTTAAATTAAATTAAATAAATGAATAATATATATTTAGACAGAGAAAAATATATATTTATTTTAGAATTTTATAAGAATCAGAAAAGGAAAAAATATAAATAATGAAAATGAAATATGGATGAGTGATTTGAAAATAAAATTGAGATCGTAATAATGATGGTTACATGATATAGGATAAGAAGACACACTCGGCTGGTTATAAAGTGGGCCTACATGACCTCTTATGTTAAAAATTAAAATAAAGTTAATAAAGTTAATAAAGTTAATAAAGTTTTTGTGAATACATTTCCAAAAAAATTATTTGTATTTAAGGTAGTAATATAATATTAGAACTCCTTTTTTCAGAATCTCAATGTAAATATAAATGAATATGTTGTGTATAAAATATTCAATACAAGTCTAATATAATACATTTGAAATGATAATTAATTACGGTTTAAAATAGTATTAAAATTCAAAAATAT